CCCCCCGTACTGCCCCCCGTGCTGCCCCCCGTGCTGCCGATGCCTCTGTCCCTCGTGCCCCCGATGCCTCTGTCCTTCGTGCCCCCGATGCCTCTGTCCCTCGTGCCCCCGATGCCTCTGTCCCTCCTGCCCCCGATGCCTCTGTCCCTCCTGCTCCCGAGGCAGCACTACAGCTGGCACAAGAAACACCAGAAAACACGTTGCCTTATTGTATTTCCCCCGTTCTCGCTCTGATGATGCAAAAGAGACGCAGCCATCGCCGAGGGCAGCGTGTGCACAGCAGAAGGGGATGTTTCATTTCGTTAACAGAAAAAGGAGCAACCATAGCTCTGGTGACAAACGCCGAATGGGGCTTTAACAGCCAGGTGTAGAAGCAAGGAAATGGATTTCCACATCATGCAATATTATCTTTGTCTCTCCAGTTAAGAATGACCATTTGGTTTCTTCTAGTGTTTTGGAGCTGGTGCAGCATTCTGACAGGGTCTTAGGTACTGAGGATGTCCTGAGGATCGATAGGGCTGCCCTGCTATCCCCCACCAGGCCAAGCCAACCTGAAGTTTTGCCTGCAGATATTGCATCCAGGAGCTGCTGTCCCCACCTGTGGCTCACTGTACCACTGGCCTTGCAGAAAAAAGGTGGGTGGGCCCAGGAGCTGCCTTTACCCTTGGGAGCCTTCTCTTCTAAGGGGACTGCCTGGTAGCTGGAGATGCTGACCTGGGGTCTGTTCTCCTTTGTCCCTTACAGCACAATGCAAACCCACATTTGCATCATGCTGCTGAAGCATCCTCTCCCTGTCATGAAATATTCATGATCACCTCCAAAAGGGGTCCAGCACAGCAAATCTGCGTGTCCCTCTGCAGGCAGGCAATCTGTGCTACAGCGTGGCCATGGGCTTTGCTGTGGGGTCAAGCCAGATCCAGACAGCTGATCTCTGTCTTTGAGGAAATAAAACAGAGACGAAAAGACCAGCAAAACCCCGGAGGTGCTTTTGAGATTTAACCCTTTCCAGGCTGGAAGGCACTGGCAGATATTCTGCAGCAAGCAGCCTGAGCAGCGCAGGAGAGACAGGTCTGGAGAGCACCCCCAATGCTCAAGTTCTTTCTCAGGTTAGAAAGATTGTTCCTGACCGTCAGAGACTGCCTCTGTTGGACATAGTGGAAGCTTCTAGCAGCTTCTCACAGAAGCCACCTCTGTGGTTTTCCCCCAAAAAAAACCAGGCAGAGATTTCCTGCCTGTTTCTGTGGGAAAGCTGGAGTGGTGGCTGCTGTGTTGTTGAGAGGCAGGCAAGGGAAGCTGTTCCAGGCTCTTGACTGTCACCTTCTTGCTGTCTTTTGCTTTGTTCAGAAAATGTGTGCTTTGGCCTCACAGATTAAGAACATGCACAGAAAGTTGCAATTGCAGTGACATTTTATGTCATTTGTTCACTTCTTAGCTCCCTAAGTAATTCTGCCCTGGTGTTCTCCAGTATAGCACATATATTAAATTGAGCAAGAGGCTGCATTTGAAGGGGGAAAGGACAGTGGCACAGGGGAGGAGCAAGATTTCAGCAAGGGAACCTGTGGAGGACTACTGCTCTGGGATATAATCAAGACAAAACTGCTACACTTTTTTTGGACATGAATTGGAGTGGGAGGCATTTGTTACTGCCAATGCAGTTTTCTTCATACCCAGTTCTTCCTCACAAGGTTGAATCGCTAAGCGTTGACAGTGCATCTGTTAAGATTGGCTCTAGAAACCAAATGTTCTTGAAAATAAAAGAAGCGTGTGCTTGCCCTTCATCTTGCCAGCCATTCAGCTCCCAGTAGCACGGAGAAAAGCCACACAGAGCAGCCCACATGCACACAGATGGGCTAAGACTGGCCGTGTAGGGGCTCCTCTGTGTGAAGGGTGCAGCAGGCTGAGGAACAAGAAGTTCCCTGAGGATGACATCAGTCTTTCTTCTACTGACAATATAAAGCTTCAAGTAAAAGTCCCACAGAAGGTCTCCACGAAGAGCTCTTCCCAATGCTTAATTTTCCTCTCCAGGTTTGTGTTTTCTTTTTGCAACTGCATTTCTGTCCTTGTGCTCGGAGCACACAGCCTGCTTCCTCAGAAAGATGCTGCACCCAGCAGACAGCACTGGCATCACCACGGATTGCAAGCACTGGGAGAGGACTTCCCAGGAAAGACAGGAGTATGATCTTCCTCCGAGATCACAAACTCTGTTAATCAAAGGAAGGAAAAAGAAATAGAAAGGCCAATGCAGCCTTCCCACTTGACTCCCTTTAATTAGTAACCATCTGGTTTTGAGAAGAGCTGTCAGCCAATGTAGAGCTTTTGGCAAGCTTCCTCAGTGGCTGCTCTCCTAACATCAATTCTTCTTGGAAATGCTTTACGCCCCAAGATGCCAAAAGGAAATGAAAAACAAAAGAGAGGGCACAAGAGTGAAAAGGAAGAACAAGGATGCAGCATAGCCCAGCAGACAGAGCAAGACATTCCCCAGTTTCACTTCTAGATCAGGGAGCAAACTACAAACACTGCTGGCCACCGGGAAACATTCCACACAGCCAGCCACCTGGAAGAATCTGCAGTACTTCAAGCACCATTCTCTAGCAAGCAATTACAAACCCCTCAGCATTTTCCAGGAGTCTCACTGCTCAGCTCAGTGCTCTGTCCAAACTCCAGCTTTAACAGTGACTTTCTATCTTCCAATTTGCCTTGCCTCGCTTTAATTTCTTTGTCCCAGCTACTGTGCAATGGCACTGTGTGTTCACATGTGCTGCTCCAGCAGGGGTTCATCCACTAGGAGAGGCATAGGCAATTTTACAAATCAAATTCATCATGCTTGGCACTTTCTCCAGTTTTGCCCTGATTCTCCCTGATGCCATGCTCTGCTGGAATAGAGGGGTGCTGCTGCTCTCCACCAAGAGTGCAAAGGGAGCACTCACCTAGCTTTGGATGGCACCAGGAGGCACACTGACTGTTCTGCACAAGTCCCCAGGGATCATCTGACAGCACAAGGCCTTTTGGTCTTTGCAGGAAAATAGCCACACAGGTAGCAAAGCTGGGCAGCAGGAGCTGGCTGCAGCATTTTGTGAGTGCTGCCTTCCTCATTAAGATGCAGCACATGGCTCAAACGGCTTTTAGATTACTCCTTCCTGACTCTAGGACATCATGTATGAGTCAGAGGCTTGCATATTTGCTTCTCCTGATCCCTGTGAGTCCCCAGCACGTGGCAAACTACATTTTGAACAGTTCCCTTGTTGTTCTCACTTTTGCAAAGAAGCAGAATTATCCTCTTCTCTCTTGAACATCATCATCACACACTTACCACTACCTTCTTTCCTCACAGATGCATTCAAATTCTGCAGTGCCCTCTTGCAAGCAGGTGCATCACACTCACCTGCACTCACAGCCCCCCCACTCATTCCCACCCCACTTCCCACAAGGCATGGGCAGCAGTCAGCCCCTTCCCACAGACTCTGGTCATGGGGCTCT